AGGCGGGAAGAGGGCGGGGGGGCCTCAGGGCCGGCGGGAAAGCCCAGGGGGCTGTGGGGATAAGCGGGTGGGCTGCCCGCCGAAAGTGGGGTGAGGTGCTGTGGGGAGGGCGCTGGCCGGTGGGTTTTGGGCCTGGCAGGAGGGCTGAGGTGGGTCGGCCTCGGCGGGCGCAGCCGGAGGAACGAGCTAGCGCCGTGGAGCCAGGAGCAGGTTTGTTCCGTGGTTACACTGAGTTTATTCGGTGGCTGGTGTTACCAGCTAAGATGGGGATACAGCAGGGTAGGGGGAGGAGCGTGACTGTGGGAATGAGTTTATTCAGTGGCTGAGTCAATACCACTGACGTGAGCTATTTTCCTCTATATCCGGCATCTCTGTCAGCTGCTCTGCTGCATCCTTTTGTTCCTAGGATAACACTAGTAAGGCACGTCGCTGGGTTTTCTGTAGGCTCACATACTTACTTGGCAGATGCTTTTCCCCCGTTTTAAACGGCTACTTCAATATGCCCTTTCATTTGTAATTATTAAGGATTCTGCAGTCGAAGAGGTGAATAAATTGCATTAATGATTAACTGTTACCTTCGTGGTTTACAATGAAGTTAAACTGACCACGGAAATATATTGGTTGGTTGATCTCCTGTAACTCAATGGGAATTGTATGAAAGAAGAATAAACTATGCCCGTTTCATAACACTGCTATTGTGTTCTGGTAACACTGCATCTCGTGATAAGGATGGCAGTTTACAACAATATTCACCGGAGTCAAATAGGTGTTTTACCAAATTATTCAGGGCTGGTAGCATACTTAAATAACAAGTATGCTGTTTTAAAGTTGCAGCGTGCCTGCTGCCTAACTCGGTGCTTTCTTTGTAAACGCCAATCTTTGACGCTTCTAGATTTTAATATTTCTTTTTTGTTTTCTGGTTAACTTACTCTGTGGGACACGTTAATCCGCTGTAAGATAGGAGCAACAAGAGTTGAGTGCGCTGTAAGCCTCTGCTGGGTCTGCCCACGCAGGTCTTATTGCTGGATCAGCACGTAAAGGCTTAGCACAATCAATGTGATTACTGAAGGTGGTGAGCGCAAGGAATGAGAGGAAATGTTTTATAGCCTGTGCTTCATGAACAAAACAAATGCAACCAATCAGTTCCACGGAGGCTTAGCGCTGCTTTCAGATGTTCAGCCGCTCCACAATGCTTTGGTGTTATAGGTACATTTTCTGCCATTAGAGAAGCTTTTCAGTGAACCTTTTGAGACTAATGAGCTTAGACGCTTATTCATTTTGTTCTGTATGTCATTTGTGCATGTTTAGGGCCTTTCATTCAAAGATCCCTCAGCACTTGAATCGAAGGTCAGAAGACCTGGGAGTAAAACTGGTAACTGAACCGATGCTTTGTTGGGTTCACGAAAAACACCCAAAAAGCCTTGCTTGCTCCGAGAATTCTAGATGCTTCCTATATTTTAATAATTATAAAGCTCTGTTACATATTGACAAAAAAAGAAATCCCACCTTAGGCAGGAACCCATCTATCTCTGTCATGGAAAATCTGCTTAATAATTACCATTATGGGAATCTGAACAGCTTTCTTTTCTCTCTCTTTTGATTTTTTTTTTCTTTTTGATTAATGGTATACTTCATTGCAAAAGTGATATTTCTTAGTTTATTCAGGTATACCATGGGTCAGGCTTCTTGGGAGCTAGTAGTTTGGTGTCCTTACACATGTATACGTTTTATATATATATATATAAAAATACTGTCTTTGGTATCTCCACCCTCTCCCCCTCCCCCAAGTGAAATCACAGAGGGAATAAACAAAATGAGAGCCCTCTTCCCCAACACGTTTAGCTCCTCTTGTTCAAACAGTCTACCAGTTATGGAAAAACATGTAATTAAAGTATATCAATTCATAGAGAGACAATTAGCCTTACAGCATGGTCAAAATTAAAACAATTTTGGAGAAAAATACAATTCATATGAATAGTTCAGTTGGTTGGTTTTTTTTCCCAGCAAAGTGTGCGTTACCTGATTTGTGAAGGGAGGAAAGTTTTATTGCATTTCTTGATTATACCACTTTTAATTTTACCATGTATCTGCTTGACAGTAAAATGTGAAATAGAAATATGGTAAAAATAAGAGTTCTCATGGGGGTGATTAATGTAACTTCCTTAGTTTTGAAGAAAGCTTGGGGCAAAAAGCACTCTCTATTACTTCTCAAAGATACTTCTGTGCATCTTTTTAAAGAAGCAGAGATTTATGTTCCCTTTAATCAGAGTCTTCGAAACTACTGGAGCTTTTTGGCTCCCTCTCCCAAACCAGTTGTGACTGCCAGTGGGAGTATGTAGCATGTTTTAGCTTGATGTCAGATTACGCTTCCTTGAATGTATTTTGACTCATTAAAAGTGAGGTCAGATGGAGAACGTGCTGCTCGTCATGTAAACTACTGCTTGACTCGTTGGAACTCTTTACTCACAGTTTAATTTGAGTGTTCTTCCTAGTATGGCTGCAATGGGTTTTAGATAAACGGCAAGTTTTGTCAGTCTGGGATAATGGCTAATAAAGATTGTGTTTGTGCAGAACCCTAAGTGCTGTGGAGGTGTGTTCTGCAGCTGAATCCTTGAGCAACCAGTTCTGATCATCTTCTGCTGGGCTTTTCTCTACCCGTACGTGGTGTCGGAGGAAGACCTCTCCTTGCACCTTTGCCCTCTGGTCTTTTCACATCACTTTGTCACTTGCTGCTGATTTTTTAATAATAGATGTCTTTGCAGATCCTGACCATTAATAATTCTCCCAACAGATTCTCTCTGCTCCAGAATGGTTATTGGGGAACGTACAGCTTTGTGGCCTAACAGTCTTCTAACTGCATTTGCCACGTGCTTTTTTTGCAGGTGTGGCCTCTTGCTGTAAAGGTGTTGCTACAAGGCAAATCTGCCTTCCTGATGTAGTTCTTACAATGTGGCCTTTTTATTTTGAAATTAGACACCGGCAATCGTCGTAAATCTGAAATAATACAATCTCTGTGTCTCACAACAACTAGTCTGAGCAAAGGCTGCCTTTTCCCAGTTAACTCTTCACTGCCTGAAAAGCCCAGCATGTAGTGCAGAGTTGGTGTATATCTTGTGGTTGTGCACAAAAGCTCACTCTGTGTCTCACAACAACTAGTCTGAGCAAAGGCTGCCTTTTCCCAGTTAACTCTTCACTGCCTGAAAAGCCCAGCCTGTAGTGCAGAGTTGTGCACAAGAGCTCTGTGTACATCCTAAATTCCTTGTTTGTGAATGCAGCTTGGGAAAACCAGACTATAAACCACCAGGACTTTTAACGAGTATGATGCTTCCATGCTCATCTGTATAATGGCGTAGTTAATAGTTGGTCCAGAGGATACATTCTGTTTCAGCTTCACAAAATCAAGTTGAAAATAGGTGAATTTGTCCCTTCCTGTGTCACTGATGCAGTTCCCAGAGCCAAAACTTTGTGATAGAAATAAGGTGCATTTCAGAAGTCAAGAAATCAGTGCTAAAATTTAGAACCTGTACAAATAATGTATAAACAGTAGTTTCAGCTGTTGTATTTGTATCTAAAATACAAAAAGAAAGCCTAAGGTTTTCTTTTTTTCTCTTGACTGTTTTTACCTCTGTGATGAAGATGTCAAAACTTTAGAGAATGAACCAGACACAAAAAATCTGAAAGAGCTCACCTTCAAGTGGCACCAATTAAATTACACAGGAGTTGTGATGACACAACATACGTGTGTGAAATTGTTGTCTGACAGATAATGGGAACTAATGTTGCGTAGAAAACCGTGTGCTTTTGTGAAATTGGAGATCTTTGGCTCCGTAATCATGGCTAATAAAGCGGCTGTATGGTCAAATGATTCTTGTTACATATCTTAATGAGAAGGATGGAATTAGAGTTGGACAGGGAATCACAGAATGATGTGGGGTTGGAAGGGACCTCTGGAGATCATCTCGTCCAACCCCCCTGCCCGAGCAGGTCCCACAGGAACGTGTCCAGGCAAGTTTTGAATGTCTCCAGAGAGGGAGACTCCACCACCTCTCTGGGCAGGCTCTGCCAGGGTTCATGATACGCTTTTGCTCTTTTGTCAAATCTCAGTACACCTATGGATAGCCCATAGTTATAACTAGGAAAAAAAAGGGAAAAAACAGGAAATACCAGCTTGTACACCATATAGTGTTCCCTGGCTAAGGAAATAAAAAAGAGAAGAAAAAGAAAAAAAGCCTGAAGTGATGGCATTGAACTTACTGGGTGAGAATTCTGGATTTCTCGTGCTACTCAGTGCTTTATTTTGGCTTATGAGCAATGAAATCTTTTAATCTAACTGCAGTGACATGTATGTTATCAGGGCATTTCAGCTGTGAAAGGAAACTTGGTGCCTGCCTCGAGCTTGTGATGGTTTGAATTGTGGTGTGACCCATTTATTAAGGTTATGGTAGGACAGGAGAGGTGGCAGCCGGCATTGAATGAGAGATGTTTGTTAGGGGGCCAGGGCAAAGGAAGCCAAATGAGGCCTGAGAATGGCAGTCTGCCTGATGTATATAAAAACCAGGGGTTGATTCAGGGCTTTTGGAAGTAGAGGAGAGAAGGAAAATATAAAGCTGCAGCTGGGG